GGTCCAGGGTTTAGGGTCTAGGGTTCATAGACCGACGATCCACTGATCTGTGAGACAGGACGGCTGTTGAGTCTTTGTCCGTTCCATGAGACAGGCCATGGCGGACAGGACGTCAGACAGAATGGACTGACGCATACTACATGTCCTACGTGGACTCTCCACAAAATCCACAGACCTTACGTTGCATTGACGTAATCCTTTATCCGGGACTGACCGCCCGGCAGATCCTCTCTTCACCATTCTCCCCGACTCTCTCCCACCTATTCTTACATGGCCCACCTATTCTTACAAAAAACACGAAGCTTCTCGACATATTAACGTGTCTGTAGTACTGGAAGCAACACATAACCCCAACCGTGTCCCCTTTTCACTTCCAAACGATCGTGATCGAACCTTTTGTCTGACCGCACGCGTTGTTTCTTAAAGGCGCAAATTGGGCACTAGGAAGAATTTGCCTGATTTGATTTGCCTGAGGAAATCCAGCATACGAAGGCGAACACGCGAACTGGGCTATCGGCGATTCACTTACATGCCTTACTTCTCTTCTGCCATCTTCCCACTACCGACGGGCGGGGTGGGCGGACTGGCCCACGGGGGCGAGTCGTGCACAACGCGCTGCGGCTCCCAGAGGGCCACGGAGGGCCAGCGCGTCTCCCATCCAATTCGTCATCCGGATCCAGATCCAGATGCTGTGTAGTCACTCAGGTGGCTGCTGGATCTGGAGATCTGGTTACCGTGTGCATTGCAATGCATGTCTCATGCTTGGTTGTGCCTACTTATGCAGTGCGTGAGATGCATGTGTGTGTTCCATATGTGCTGTTGGTTGCAGTGGACGAGCGTTGTTCCTTGCTTTGTATGGTTGTGTTTCTTTTGTCTTCCCTTGCTTTGTTTGGTTCGAATTTGTCTCCAAGCCTAGACCCGTCCCACTCGACGTATTCACTCGAATACATACAGAGACGACTCGATGTCTGAGCTGCCAGAGTCCGTAACTCTGTAGATGAGATCCTCCCCTATCTTCATTGTTCTCCTCCCCTATCTTCCGCCCTCGCCTGCAGGTAAGAAGTCGTTCAAAAAATTTGTCGTGCAAATCAGGTGTGAAGCGGTATGCATTCAACAGCAAAACACGGACAAGCAACAGAGCCAACAAGCAATCGAGCAAACATCCGCGCCCTCCAGTCGCTCAGTCGGCTATCTGTCAATGCTGGTCTAATTGACGTCAAGTCTGGGAGAGTCGCACGGGTCGGGCTGCGACTCTCGGGATACTCTTTGCGCTTTTACTCCCAGCGATACAGTGATGAATAAAGGCGCCTCGCAGATGAATGTCATCACCTTCCCAACGAGCGACTTGCTTGCATTCTCACTCGGTGACTGATTGAACCATTTCAGGCACACCTTGGTACCGCCCTTTTTGAATAAGGGCGTCCAAGCACCCAGAATACAGACACTGATGACTGTGCTCCTTTTGAATAAGATGTACGTCACGTCTTTGCCACAGCCGTAGCCAAGCTTGGTCCAACACAAACATGCAGATGCAAACAACAAACACTCAGTAGGTAGAGTCACTCATTCGAAAAACACCCCAGCCGTACAGAGCATCCATTTCAGTCACTGATGGGCACGGTGTGCGTCTATTCGTCAATAGAAAATGCACCCGAGCATACATATCATAAATACCCTTCCACCACCCGTACACATACATGCATCCTCCCGAAGGACAAACAAACAGACACGTGCAAGCCAGCCACCCCTGCGGTCGCTAATCTACAGCCAGTGCCCGCCTCCGCTCTCTGTCACGTCGATGTCGATGGCCACGGGCGGACTCGACGGCACAGAAGGGGGCTGCGGTGGCGTGGGGGGGTGGGACAAGTTGGACAACGGGTTGGACGCACCGGGTGTTGTTGAGGGCTGGCCTCTCTCCTGGGCCGCGGACCCTCCCTGTCCACTCGGCCCTCCCCGCGTGCCGTCAGAAACCCCCTGGGGCTGCGAAATGCGGTCGGGCCGCAGACGAATCAGGCTTTTCGAGTCGGAGTATGGCGGCAGGATCAAACCAGAGCCCGAGCCAATCGGAGCAGTCGACCGGGGAAACGCAGGCCTCCGGGGAAACGAGACCGCGCTCACCGTCATCGCTTGATGAACGCCGCCCGCCCCCGAGCCCGTCGACGATGCTTCTGGTCCGCGCAACTCCGGCAGGCGCAGAGATGGAACAGGGGATGGAACAGGGGATTCGCGCTTCCTCTTGCCCGATGTCCCCCCGCGGCCCCCTACGCCCATCCCGCCCTCCCCATCTCCCATCGCGACAGATACGCCCGCTGCGGACTCAGCGCCAACTGCACTCCCGGCGGGCATCGCCGACAGAGAGAAACCCGATGGCTGAACAGCGACATAGGGGATCTGCTCGGTCGTCTGGGTGGTGCTCAGCTGCGCTGAGAAGAAGCGAGGCCCCTGAGAAGCCCCGCCCACCACCGCTGCCGATGACGAGGCCGCAGACTCGGTGGTGTCCGTGCCGCCAATGGGTGAGTGATCAGCCAAGGTCCTCAGGGGTGGAAGCGCGGCAACGCGGCTTGCCTGACGTCGCTGCTTGGCAGGGGGCTCCGCACGCTCCTCTGTTCCGCGACGGTCGAAGGGGTTGGACAGAGGTGGGATGAAGCCGTGAGCAGCTACAGGAGCAGCGATGGGCACTCCTGGCACGTCGCGGGCGCAGTACATGGGAAAGGTACCATTCTCACCGCCTGGAGCTGAGCACGGCGCCGTGTGAGGCGACAGGAACGGAGGGAACGCAGGCTGCTGGTGTGCTGACGGGGGCAGAGGGGGATGGAGAAAGTGCTGTGGGTAGCCAGTGTTGTTGGCTGTGCTGTTGTGGTAGCTTGGCTCGTGTTGTTGCTGCTCCTCTTCTGCTATTGGTTGTCCGTCCTCTCCGACCTCCTGAAGCTCCCACCGCAGCCACTCCAGCTCTCGCTGCTCGTCCTCATCCATGACAACCCCTGATGAACACAAGGCGCCCATCCAGCGGAGAGATTCCACCTTCCTCCGCCTCCCCTCTCCTCACCTCACGCACGCACTCTATTGCTCTCGTTAGTGGGCTACTGTGTTCGAACGGTGCAGAGGAACGCACGCACTGCGCACCGTTGCATCAGGATGCTTTCTCTGCGCTTATTTCTTAACGTTCGCTCATTCCCCCCAAACGCCCAGCGTGGAACGTCTGTTTCGTTTAGTACTAGACGCATGAAATGGGCGACGAAATTCTCCCTTAAAGTTTTACCGGGCACAACTCTACTTCCTCCTGAGGCGCAGACAACGGACCGATGCCGTTCGAAATGTAAGACCTCCCAATTGCTCTAGAAGCGGGATGTTAATGAAAATGCAACCGGGCCTGACGTTTTTACTGTGGCGCGTCCGATCAGGGTTTGCTGTTGTGTGCATGAATGAAATTGGGCCTGACGTTTTTGCTGTGGCTCGCCCAGTGGGCAAGAAGCGTCCGATCAGGGTTTGCTGTTAGCCGTTTTTTCCTGTTCGCTTCCAAGCTATTCAGCTTGACACACTGAAGCAAGGCGAGTCAGTGAGGTTGGTTGGGAGAGATTCCCTTCCGAAGCGCTCACCGCGCCCATTGGCTTTACTCACTGATGCGCTGACTCTGACTGCCTCGTGAATGATGGTTGGGAGCGTGCTTGAGAGCGGAAGAGCCACCTCGAGATCTGCTGGAGCACACGCAACGGGACGGCAAATGACGTCTTGACGTGTCCGAGCAGAACCGCAACGGAATCAGCTACAGAAAAGGCCGTGAGGCTCGCCAGTTCATTGTATGTGTGTTTCTTTGTGTGTGTGTGTGTGTGTGTCGGTTTTTTTTTCTATCAACTGGTGACGGTAATCAGATCTGCAACTCGATACTGGGAACACTCACCCTCACTTCAACAACAGAGGCGGTTTAGGGGGATACGAACGCGTCCCTTCTCCGGTAGAAATCCACGAACGCATCCCTTCTCCGGTAGAAATCCATCGTGCACGGTTATCTGCATGCTCTTAGCGTATGTCTCGTCGTTGACACAATAAGCAACCAGCCAGCGACATGGACACGCGACGCGCACACGCAGTACGCAGCATGCAAAGCTGAGAGGTAGATAGGGATAACAACAAAGTCGGATAAAAAACTGAGAGGGTGCCGGAGTACCTTGGACATACGATTAATTCAGTGGACGCTGCGCGTGCCACTGATCCGATATATCGGTCTCTTTCTCTCCTTTGTGTTTTGTCTGTGTGGGCCGCAGTGGCAGATTATACGCCAAGAGACTGTAGTTTTCCCCAATGGGCAGTGCATGGACATCTACTGTGTGATCGGCGGGCATGACTACCCTCTCGACGTCACTATCGCCCCCCTGCCGACCTCACGACTCCCCCATCCCCTTTTGCCGGGCAACCGGCGTGGTGCACAAGTTCAAGGTGGCAAGACGGCGCGACTTAGAGAAAGACAAGATCGACAAGTATGGTCCAACCACCCAAGCAGCCGGCTTCCGCTTCGTGCCCCTCGCTGCGGTCCAGCCTGCGGAGACATTCGGCAGGTGGGGAAAGAAGACCATGGACTTTCTCATATACTCGCCAGGCGCAAGCCCCGCCTCACCTCCATTCCCATGGAGGAAGACACAGCTTACCAAGAGAGCATCGTCAATCATTGGAGCCAGCTTCTGTGCATGGAGCTGATGAAGCACAACACGTTCCGGGGGGGAGTCGTGCGCAGCGTGCTGCGGCCGCCAGAGGGCCACGGAGGGCCAGCGCGTTTCCGGAGGACTTCGTCAGCCGCGGGCCATACACAAGCTTCACACCAGCCCCGCCTCGGGGCCGTGAGGGGGCTGGCTTGATCTGGATGCTGTGGGTATTGTGGTGCGTGCCTCGCGGTTTGTTGTGTCTGTGCAGTCCGCGACATCCATGTGCGTGTTCTGCATGCGCTGGTTGCAGTGGACGAGCGTTTTCCCTTTTCTCACGAATGCTTCCCAGGTTAGACACAGATGGTCCTCGCTCTTTTTGTTTACTCAAGACTCGGTCTCGCACCTGGCGAGCAGCAATTTGACCAAGGCACTGTGATGGCCAGTGGGCCTTGGTCGACGGTCGTTCATACACCATACATATCTGTTGGCTTCGTGCACCCATGGACAGCGATAGATAAAGGGCTGCGTCCAGCCACGGCAGAAACAGGTTGAACCTTACAATTGCCGAACGCTCCGCATCTCTCTGCCTTATCCTCTCAGTGAGTTAGTGAACAAAAAAGCATCGATAGCATGCAAACTTCGTGCGGTCGCCGACTGATGAGGCGATACGCTTTCATGCTTTACACTTAATTCAGGAAGGAAGCCATACTGAACATTCCAACTTCATGTGTTTCCGCTACAAAGCTGCGACTGCAGCAGCCTTCCGTCATCCACAATCGGTCGTCACCAGGCAAGGCAAGTGAGTGGATCGGGGATGGCTCCGTCCACTATGAAATCAATGAAATCAATTTCCACCTCAATTTCACCAGCCTAGAACGACATTGACAGGCTACAATCCAAGAGAGGTGACATGTCATATGTTGTTATTATAGACGAATGTCGCTGTCTTCTTACTCCGGGATTAGCGTCCTACAGTGAAGAGACAGGTAGGGAGATGAAGAATTGTCAACATACGGTGATTGAGGAGGAATGGTGTTTAGCATCCAGTTCAAAATTCGGCTGGGAAAAATTCGTTTCAATGGAACACACACCAGGGTCTGGGAAAATTGAGGAGGAGTCTTGCTGGTATAGATGATGCACCCTCCTCACAAACCAAGTGATACATAAGTACATGTATACATACTTACTGATGAGGTGAACCGTAAGAACACAGTACAGCTCATCATCTCATACACTCATACAGAGGACACCCACCCATCTCATAAAAGCTGAAGAACCCAGCTCAACATGTAGCAAATGTCTGCTAGTTTCATAGACAGCGACAGAGGACACCCACCCATCTCATAAAAGCTGAAGAACCCAGCTCAACATGTAGCAAATGTCTGCTAGTTTCATAGACAGCGACGGCAGAAAAATTCGGCTGAAAATTTAAACTTCGCAGAAGGGCTGAAAAGGGCTGAAAATTAAACTTTGCAGAAGGACCCAGAATTTAATCCGCCTCTACCTAGCCCCCAGTCAACTTCCGCCTCTACCTAGCCCCCAGTCAACTAAGCAGCAAACTTCGTGTGTTCACCAACTGGCGAGGCGACACGGAGCTTCATGCTCCTCCACACCTGATGTTCACCGGGCATATCTGCGTCTGAAAAAAGGGTAAATGCAGAATTGTCTGAATACGCTGTGGGCATATCTCTACCTCATCGCCCAGCCGAATGTCAATTGGCACTTCGACGATTGTTTGATATGGACTTGGCGAATCCACGTTACACTCTGACCCAATGAGCATCATACATCCGTAGGAGAGTGTAAGGAACGAAATTGCTCACCCAGTCGCAGGGCTTCATTGTCCCCAGAACCGATGTCCTCCAGGTTAATGTCAGGGAACGATTCGAGGATGTCCCTGCAGACCACACACGATTTGACCCAGAAAAGGGTAATTTGCTTCGTCGGGTCGACCAGCTCCCTTACGCAGGGATGATAATCCTGCAGCAAACAGGCAGGGAGGGATGCGGATTGTTCGGTAGCATCACCTCTCAGGCGATGCTTACTCGAGGAGCTCCAATAGAGCGTTGGGTGGAGTGTTCCCACTCGGGTCCTCAAAGCTCACAAAATCCCTGACAAGCATACGCAGACGCGTTCCGACATCTTCCTCCTCTCCCACCCACCCGCCTACCGGATGCTGATTGTGTCCGCGCTTCCTGCTGCTGCGATAATCGTAGGGGTGAAGTTGCACTCAATGTTCACAGTTGTGTCCGGAGCCGGACGATCCCCGCCACCAGTGCCAGGCGGGGATTCGCCACTGACAGGCGGAGATCCTCCGCCACTGACAGGCGGGGGTGCTCCGGCAGGAGGCAGTATCACGATGCTACCTCCCGCACCGCCACCACCGCCACCACCGCCACCACCCGAAGAGCCTGAGGAGCCGGAGTCCTCTTTGCCGCACTTGTGCTTGTGACACTCCTTCTTGGACTTGCGGCGCTTCTGGTGGCATTTGCATTTGCGTTTGTGGCATCTGCACCTGCCCAGAGCCCGCGATGCCCATGGTAGCTGGCCGCTGGCGTGCTCTGAGACGCAGGCAGGGTAGGACACAGCAGGAAACTGCAGAAGTGACAACCGAGGGCTGCCATCCTGTACCTGTCATCCCCTCTACTTCTTCGGCTACGTCATCGGCCGTCTCACCTTCATCGACCATGGCTACAACTGCAACATAAAGCGCAAAAGGCACGACACAGCACGCCCACACATATGATAATCGGAAACGAGAGTCTGTCGTTTCGTATGCCTGACCTGTTTGCCCCTGCGACGCTGCCACCATGCTCGTGTCATCCTCATCGAGCTTCCCTTCGGCGCTATCGGGTGCGCCACCACCTGAGGCAGAAGCACAAAGAGGACAGAAGCACAAAGAGGGTACAGGAGACGCTAACAGCGCATCAATTGGGCTTACCGTTCGCCGCCACCGTGTCTTCACCGCGGAAGGTCGACGGGCCGGAGAAACCGAGGTGAGCAAACAGAAAACATGCGACAAGAAAGGCTGCAAAGCGCATGATGACAAGAAGGGAGGAAGGGGAAAAGACAGGAGGTCGGAAGACGCAGTCACGGGAGAGGAGGGGCGGAAGTGATAGGAGCAGCTTGAGCCCCTCCCTCCTGCCGTTCCCAACGCAGCCTGTACGGGCATCGTGTTCAACTTGCGGTTGCCCTGTAGAATTGCGGTTGCAACTGCAGCTAGGCGAGGACTAGAGATCGCGGCAGCCGCGATTGGTTTCGTGCTCGGCGCTCTAGTCCATGTGCTCATGTGTTCCTTATGGATGGGGGTGCGCAACCCAACACTAAGCATCCCTGGAGACCACTCCGGGCGCCAAAGTCTGTTTGACCAAAGGGTGTTCTTTCCTCCGATGCTTTGCCAGCGCGCGTGGAACATCGGCCCGGAACCACCGGGGTTGAACGCTCATCCTTCTGTGCGACAGTCCATCCATGCTCCCGAAGCAACCTACAGTCAGCACCCAGACATTTCACTTGCGCGGCGTTGCGGGGTGTGACAAATAAAGAGATGGATCCATCTCCAATAATATTTCAGATCTTCAATGCGGGCCAATATTCTTGCTGTCCTATGCGTTCTTTTGGCTTTTGGGCGTCATGGCAGCTCACAAAAAGGGGCAATCACTTACGATGGAGTGCCGCGACGGAATACTGAGCAGGTTCTCGGTCAGCTGAAATGGATGGGTGTCGACCTCGGTCGAGGACAGCCGAGACTCAGAGACGTGGGTGAAATGGAAAGAGCTCCCAAGCCAAGCCCCGGGCTCGAAGCATTGTTGGAAACCCCGTTTGTATACGCCCATCCCTTGCCACATTCCATCCTCGTTTCCCCCTTCACAACAATCGCCTTTCGACCAGAAGACAAGGTCAACAGAAAAAGCGTTGAAGGGAAGATCCGTGTCCGCGGTGATGAGTCTGGCGACCACAAGGGAGAGACACGGTTGCTGAGTGACAACCGAACCGTCTATTTCGTACCCGAGGCGCCTTTCGAGCCTGGGGAGACAGTTAGCATTTCAGTTGCGAGAGGAATCAGGACCATCGAGGGGAATTCGCTTTCTTCTTCTTCGTGGAACTTTTCTATTTCGTCTCACACAATGAACAAGTACATTTCCGTAGAGGCGAGGGCAAAATTGCGACAAAATGTCACCTTGAAAGAGTATTCTTCGCACGAGACGCTGGAGCTGTTCAGGAAGGCTGAAGACATCGATTGGCTGTTGGGCATTCCCGCTATTGATCAGCAAGGAACACAGGCAGCCGATGTGGACGATCTCGACGACATCGATTGTCGTGATGAAATGCCCAGACAGGATGAAAGCCAGTTCTATGCTCCCAACTGTGCATACAGGCAAGATGAGGGATTCCTTCAGGTCGATTCGTGCCCACATTTGAATGCATTCAGGACCCTCCCTCTCAGCTATCCCCGTGCCAGCGTGAGTGTTCGAGGGAACCTGTCTGCGTTGTCCACTGGCTACCTCTTTACAGCCGGACCTAGTGGAAGCAACGTCTGGCCTCGATACAATATCATCGTAAGACGATTCTCGCCGAGTGGGTTGCGACGAAAATAAAACAATACCCATATCCTGCAGATGACTTCGACGGGCGATCCGGTGTACTTCCGCGAGAGAGAAGTCGACGTTTCAAGTTTTGCACCGACACACCGAGGCCAACTCTTGTGGTGGCATCTTCAACACCGCGCCCAGGTGCTTGGGCCTGACTACGAAGTGCGACATGAGTTTAGTGGGAAGCATGGAGAGCACCAGGAAGGGCACGAGTGAGCGAGAAGGATCTCGAAGGAAGAAAGTTGCTCCTCGATCAGTGCACTTCATTCGGTTGTTCATCAGGTTTCAGCTGATGAAGAACGGCAATGGGCTTATCTTCATGTAAGGAAAGCCATTTAAGAGCGTATGCACGATCTGGTATTCGTCTTGACGTCTGTCTGGTTTTGGGATCCTACTTATCTGTAAGTTACGATTTTCAGCTCCTGCAGGGCCAGAAATTGCGTCCCGATGTGAAGTGGACTAAGGGCGTTGTGGGTGTGGTCATTCAGGAGATCACTGCTGACGGTATGAGCTGTGTGCACAGATGACAACGGCAAGCACAAGAGGGTCCCTGCATTCGACGTCTGCAGGTGACGTGGCCTTCGAGTGGCGCAGCTGGGATCATCTCCCCCTCAGCTTTTGGGAGAGTCATATCACTGTCATCAACGGTATCTGGGACGTTTTTCATGCGAATAGTCTGGAGGAAGCCCACGACGGCAACATTCTCCTATCGTGAGCACCACGTTTTCTCCCTCGGCTTCAAGTTTCTGAGCAGAATGGTTTCTGGTTTTCACCCTCAGGATGAGGACGATGTCACAAATCATAAAGATAAATAGGTGAGCGACTACTGACGTTTTGCAAGCAAAGACGGACTTGCATCCGGTGTCGTGCAGGGACACTGGCGAGGTCTTGTGGCGTCTCGGCGGCAGGGGCGGCAATTTTAGGTACCCTTTAGCATGGATGGATGGGGAGCTGACGAGAGAACCTAACGTTGGAATTCAACTGTGACAACTTTACTCTCAGGATTGTCAATGACACGAACGGGCAGTTTCGCCAGCAGCACGACGTGAGAGACCTGGGCAAACAAGCGGGCGCAAATCGAATAAGCCTCTTTGACAACGCAGTGGGCTCCACACCAGCGTCCGCTCGAGGTGTCGAGTATGACCTCTTCTTCGATTCCGATGGAAAGCCAACCGAGGCGCGCTTGGCGAGTTCATATGACACAGGCATCTAGGATGGAGTGGGCATTCGAGACATCAGGTTCCTATCGCACGGTGAAGGGTCGCTGGATCGGGATCCCTGGACCCAGCAGCGCTTCTCGACAACCAGAACCCCACTAATACCCTTCGGCTCCACTTCTCGTGGAATGGCGCGACGGAAGTAAAAAGGTGGCGAGTAGTGACGTCTGAGAGGTATGACGAGCCGCTGACTGAGGTGCTGGCGACAGTCAAGAAGAAGCAGTTTGAGCACTGGGTGGACCTGCCAGAGGAGGACAAGCAGCGGTGCCACTACTATCAGGCAGTTGCCCTTGGTGCAAGGGGGAAGGAAATGAGGAGATCCAATCTTGTGGCCTCGTGGTCGTGCAGCTGACGGTCTTGTCCTTTTTCAGTTTGCATGTCACCCCATGGGTTTTCTCTCCGACGTACTTTTTCTCTCCGACGTACTGTCAGGATAATGTCAGTCAAAGTGGGGTGGCCTCTGAGTGCTCACTTCATGGTTCATGAATATGAATGTAGGGCACAGTCACGGGCAAGCCATCTCTGTGTCTGTGCTGTACGGTATTCTTGCTGTACTATCCTGCATTAGACGCAGAGAGGCAGTGGCGGGCCCACAGGGTATTGGGCCGCACCTATTCCAGCGCCAACCAGGCGCCTCTTGAGAGTGGTGCAACCAACGTTTTGGTTTCGCCGTTGACTTCGGGCTCCATCTGGCATGATTTTCCCGTCTGAGGTCGTCCCGCTCACTGTGCTGCCTCAGTCGTCCGTGGTACGGTGCCATCGGGTAGAATGGGGTGAGGTGTCATTTTCTGCAATGAAGCGTTTGCGGTCGAGGGTGATAAAAGGGGACCACAATCAGCGTGTTTCCGTCTTTTTCATCTTGATGGAGTTCATTACAGCGTGAATAATACCAGACGCCACTGGTAAACACTCGAAGTAACGTTATCAGAAACCCTAACCCGCAGAGGAATTGAAAGGGGAAGAAAAAAGCAAGGAAGAAGGGACAGAAGTGTCGACGACATGGAGGAAGTGACGAACGACACTCAACAAAACGGAGATGGATGTGTCAAACACAAGACGGACGATATCACGCCGGGATTCTCACGGTACGCCAATATTTCGATATGGAGGAGCATACAGTGCGTCAGGAGTGGTAATGCTTTTTCCTCTATCAGTTCCGTGCCCTGTGGTCTCCAGGCAGGGCTTCGTTCAAAGCGTCGCGAGGCTCAGGACTCTGACAATAGCGACGATGAGAGCTCCCCGCGGAGGAAGCGGCCACGAGGCGGGTGGGATGAGAAGCCGGGAGGCGACCTGCCCCGCGATAGTGAGGGCTTCGCCATCCCTCGAGCCGAAAGGCTACCACAGCCACCACCAGCAGCTGATGGTCCTGATGCTCCACCTGTGGCCTCTGACGCGAGCGGGAAGCCGCGAGCGTTCCAGCCTCCTCCCTCGCCCTTCTATCGCACGTCCGCTGAGAGCCCCTCTGTGACGGCATTTCAGCACAGGCACAAGCCCAAAAGCTCGCTTGCCCATGCTCCCGACACCCCCATGTCGGCTGATGGTGGTGACCGTGAAGACGGCCGTGAAGGCAAGGTGCTCAGGGGGAGCGGCCGTGGGAGGGCTGAGGGTCTGACGGGCATGTCCATGTCAACCGACACGTCGACTCCTTTCGACGAGGACATCCGTGGGCAGAGAAGGGATCGTAACCCGTCGCCTGCGGTTTGGGAGACACCCAGGACCGACACGGACAGGGGAGCGCGGGATGGAGACGACAGAAAGAGGCCGCTTGCTACCCCACTGGGGACACCATCATATCGGGTGGCTACACAAAAAGCTGAGATGGACGCAGAACGCAACACTGAACATCGGTCTGTCCGTGTCTTGCTGTGCATGTAAGTACAATCGGTGGGCGGCGAATCGCAAGACATCCGGAGGGACCCCACTCTTTTTCAAAGGCAACAAGCCGGAGCAGAAGGCTGCCCCGGTCCCTTCAGCGCCACTCGAGCAGCGGGATGAGGGCACCAAGGAGGAAGAGGGGGACGTGGGCGCGTCGCTGATCACGTATGCCAACTTGACGGACAGCCTGATGGACGAGAGCAGTCATGGTGGCGATTCTGCGGCCAAGTGGCGGCAGAAACTGCTAAGCGAGAGTGAGGTGGAGTACAATGAGGAGGAGGAGAAGGACTTGGACCGCCAGTGGTACGACACAGAGGAGACCCAATACGCCACACAAGAGGACCTCGAGGCCGACCCACTCGACCACGCCATGCACGAAAAGGAAGAAAAACTCAAGAAGCAGCAGGTAGCTGGGCAGAGACAGTGGTTCAGTGCTTGCCTTGCGCATGTCCGGAAATAGCGACTGCTGTGAGTGCCTGTGTGCAGGCTCTCATGCTGGAGCGTCAGCAGAATGTGCGTCAGCGGCAGGCGAATGCTGACAATGAGGCGTGGGAGCTAAACAGAATGGCCACCACTGGAGTCGCCCAAAGGCAAGAGGTGCGCCTCTCAGAAGAAGCCACATAGAGGGGACGCCATTGCAACATGGCATTCCATTGCATTGCGTATGTGTAGGTGAATTTGGTGTTTGACACTGAGGAGGAGACCAAGGTGCACGTGTTGGTTCGCGAGCTCAAGCCGCCCTTCCTCGACGGCCGCATCGTCTACACCACACAAGAGGAGATGGTGCAGGTCGTCAAGGACCCCACATCGGACCTCGCCATGCTTGCCAAGTAAGCGATGCCAACACAATTAGGGGGATACTACACACACCCAGCATGGTGGTTGTATCGTGGACTGCCCTTGTAGGAAGGGGAGTGCTCAGCTGCGTTATCTTCGCGAGCAGGAGGACCGCACCAAGATGCGTCAGCGGTTCTGGGAGCTGGCGGGGTCGAAGCTGGGTAACCTGCTGGGTATGGAGGAGCAGCTCACCAAGGAGGAGAAGGAGGAGCAGGAACAGGCCAAGAAGATCGACGAAGACAACCTCGACTACAGACAGGTCCGCGGGGAGTGACGGCATCCAGCCTTCAGCATGTCAGACCTGCTTTGTCTATGTGTTCTGATCGCTTTTCGTACAGGATTCGCAGTATGCGGATGTGCTCAAGAAGCAGAAGACAGCCAAGGTGTCTGAGTTCGCCAAGAGCAAGTCCATCGCTCAGCAGCGACGGTCTCTCCCCGTGTACGAAGTACGCGACCAGCTGCTGCACATCATCCGAGAGCACCAGGTAACGACAACAGAGACTAGGTGCCGCACAACCTTAGTTGTATGTGTTGGTTTGTGTGCATCTGTCGACCAGGTGGTTGTCGTTGTGGGCCAGACTGGTTCTGGCAAGACAACCCAGCTCACGCAGTACCTCCATGAGGATGGCTACACCAACTTCGGCTTTGTGGGCTGCACGCAGCCGCGGCGAGTGGCCGCCGTTTCGGTCGCGAAACGAGTCTCCGAGGAGTTTGGCTGCGAACTCGGCAAACAGGTACCTGCGTAAGAGAAAGAAGAAGCTGAGACAGAGCAAAGACGGCAAATCGCTTCTGCGCCTGTTGGCTGGTGCTTCAGGTGGGTTACGCTATTCGTTTTGAGGATTGTACGAGTAGCGAGACCCTGATCAAGTACATGACCGACGGTGTGCTGCTGCGTGAGTCCCTCACCGAGCCGGATCTCGACAAATACGCTGCTGTCATCATGGACGAGGCGCACGAAAGGTCCGTCAGCCTCGATCGATACACGACCATTCTCGCACTGTCCTGCATGAACGCCACGCATTCATTCATGGTGTCATGATTGATTTAGGTCCCTCAACACCGACGTGCTGTTTGGCATTCTGAAGGGTGTGGTCGGGCGTCGGCGTGACTTCAAGCTGATCGTGACGTCAGCGACCATGGACGCCGATCGGTTCTCAGTCTTTTTCGGCGGGTGCCCGATCTTCGAGATCCCCGGGCGGACATTCCCCGTGCACATCGAGTACGCCCGGACGCCGTGCGAGGACTACATCGACATTGCGGTGCAGAAGTGCCTGCAGATCCACTGCAGCAGCGGCCCCGGGGACATCCTGGTCTTCATGACCGGCCAGGAGGACATCGAAGCCACCTGCCTTCTCATCGCCGAGAGGGTCGACCAGCTGGGCGAGGGCGTCCCGCCACTCACTGTCCTGCCCATCTACTCACAGCTGCCTTCAGACCTACAGGCCAAGATATTCGAACAGAGCAAACTGAGGAAGGTATCAAACTAGCAGTCGCTGGATGGCCATGACGCACATCAGTGGACTGGCTGTACGTTGGTGTGCGCGTATTTTTCAGGTTGTCGTCGCGACGAACATAGCAGAGACGTCCCTCACAGTCGGTACGCATAGAGGAAGACTCAACGATGCATGGCCCGCTGATCTTCTCAGCCCTTGTTGTTTTCCCTGTTTGTGCTTCGCCTTCCGTCCATGCATTGGTGCAGATGGCGTTCGGTTCGTGATAGACACAGGCTTCTGCAAGCTCAAGGTCTACAATCCCAAGATCGGTATGGACTCCCTCCAGATCACACCCATCAGCCAGGCAAACGCATCCCAGAGGGCCGGAAGAGCCGGACGCACAGGTAGACATCACATACCAAAAGACCAGACCACATGCGCATAAACGTACACCAGTCGCCACGCTGGCTGTTTGTTTGGCATGGCACAGGTCCTGGTGTGTGTCACCGTCTGTACACTGAGCGTGCGTTCGTGAGCGAGTTGTTTGAGAACAGCATTCCTGAGATCCAGCGGACCAACCTGGCCAACGTGGTGCTGCTGCTCAAGTCGTTGGGCATCGAGAACCTCCTGCAGTTCGACTTCATGGACCCGCCACCCCAGGACACCATCCTCAACTCCATGTATCAACTCTGGGTGCTGGGAGCTCTCAACAACCTGGGACAGCTCACACCCCTTGGTACCCTACGCCTGTCCAGTCCCAGACAGCAGCACTCCTCCCCTGCCCTCCATGTCATTGTTCAGGTGCGAAGATGGCTCAGTTCCCTTTAGACCCGCCCCTGTCCAAGATGCTGTTGACGTCGACAACAGCGGACCTTCACTGCTCTGCGGAGATCCTCGTAATCGTGTCGATGCTGTCCATCCCTAACATATTCTACCGGCCCAAGGACCGGGCCGAGGAGAGCGACGCAGCCAGGGAGAAGTTCTTCGTCCCAGAGAGTGACCACCTCACGCTCCTCAACGTCTACCAGCAGTGGAAACGCAACAACTACAGCGCACACTGGTGCACACAACACTACATTCACGCCAAGGTAACAAACGAGAGACGGACAGGCAGTTGTATGTGTATGTGGGGTGGGTCTATGTCATCTCGGTCTTTGTCTCGTTCTTGCGTCGATCGCTCCAGGCGCTGAAGAAGGCGCGTGAGGTCCGCGCACAGCTGTTAGATCTGATGCAGCAGCAGCGGCTCGAGCACACCTCTTGTGGCACTGAATGGAACACTGTGAGGAAGGTAAGAAAAAAAATGAAGTGGACGGGGGAAATTGCGTGACATCCGTTATGTGTCTGGGGCGGATGCACGTCGCAGGCGATCTGCTCGGGGTACTTCCACAATGCGGCCAAGTTGCGGGGCATAGGCGAGTACGTCAACTTGCGGACGAGCGTCAACTGTCACCTGCACCCCACGAGTGCCCTCTACGGCGCCGGCTTTACACCCGATTACATTGTGTACCACGAAGTCATCCTCACCACCAAGGAGTACATGCAACACGTAGGCCACACAAAACCTGCCAACCCGCAGAGCGATGCGGGGAGGGATTCTGTCTGCGCCCTTCTTCAGGTGACAGCGGTCGATGCCGAGTGGCTGCAGGAGTTGGGACCGATGTTCTTCTACTTGGTCAGTGGGCGGAGCGCACAGTGGGCATAACCTGGCTGGAACAGCTGGCAAGGACCATCATCTTGCCTCTCTGTCTGTGTGTATGGCGCTGCGCAGAAGAAGAGCGGCACATCGATGCGCGACAAACGCAAAGAGGAGAAGGAAGACCTCCAGAAACAGGAGCAAGATTTCCAAGCACAGATGGACGAGGATGCCCGGAGGAAGGCAGCCCTGGAGCAGTTGGAAAAGCAGCGGACACTTCGATCGACCAGGTGATACATGTACTCCTCCCGCGCGTTTGTGGCATTTGATGACATGCCTACCTACCTTGATATCTGTCTGTGTGTGCAGGGTCGCCACGCCAGGACAGCGGATGCCCACGCCAGGCCCGAGACAGCGCAGGGGGAGCCTGGGGGGCGGCAGCACCCCCGACGTCCTTGTGTCGGCATCACCCACAGCTGTAAAAAAAGAGGGGACTGACGAGAGGGTCTGACTTGGCACAGATCCAGATTTGTTGCGTGATTTCGATATCTAGTCCCTCTCTGCGCGTATGATTGGCATTATCGTGAAAGCCACCCACTTTCCTGACCAGACGTATGAGTATTCCGTCATTAAATATGACCATTCGTAGGGGTACTCCAAGTCAGATACAAAACGTATGTGTGTCAGCACTGAATACGTCCCCCAGTGTCACGCACTCGTCGCTGAATATTGCGACGCATGTTGCCAGAGACTAACAAACCGGTCGAAAAGCTCCCTGTGGGCCTCGGAGAGGTGGACCAGGAGGTGCCATGAACCATGCACTTTCCATGTGGTGAGATTTGTCCACCTCCCCCGAGTGCAGAAGCTGAAGAGTTGAAAAAGAGCGACAATCGATTCATTTGCTTGTGTGTTGGCATCTCATTCAGGCGGCTCTGAAGGGTAAGAAATTGAGTTGATGGACCTCTCATTGACAGCCCTCCCCCACTAAGGTAGTGACCTCGAGCGTCATTCAGAGCCAGACGCTCAGCGTGCTATGTTCGTTGCGGGGAAGTCGGGCCAGTCGAAGCTGCAGGAGCTCCAGGTGGAGTTGGCCAGACGGAGGGAGGCCGATGAGTTTATTTGACCTACGTTGAACGTGAAATGTGCGTGTATGACATCCACTCTATCCTTTAGTCCAGTGAATACGTGTTGTGAGTACTATCAATTAGTGATATGATGTACCAAGACCCCGACCATTCAGCGGAATGTGTCTACGGCTTTTGTTTGATGATTGTGTCGTCCAGCAAGGGCAGCTGCCCACCACGCCAGGAGACCTGGAAGATAGGCCTCGCAACCACTCAAGCCCTGCACAAACCATGAAAAAAGTCTCAGTCACGACGGATCGGCAGCGGTATTGACGATTGCTTTTCGCTGACCTCGTCAAAGCAGGTGTCCCTCATCTCCGTCTTCAGAAGCCTTCTCGCCTCTCCGCTGCGGGTTCGTTTCAACAGCAATTGGCCTGCCACCGTCCCCACACCCCATCCCTGCTGAAAGCCAGCGCAGCCGTCACACTTTCTCTCAATCCTGTCAGCGACATAGCCGAAGAGTTCAAGGGCGACGGGGCTCAAGGGATAGAGATGCGATGGCTGCTCTTCCAGACGGACAGCCATTTCTGCAAAGCGGCCGATAAAGGGCAACGAGTTGGTCATCTTCTCTGGATAGATGCGCACTGGCGAGGGAAAAACGGGTGAAGATGAGGGAGATGAGGACGGGGCGTGCAGATGCATGAATGTCCGGGCAAAGAGCATCTCGGTCATCGAAAGGAAACGAGCCCAGAGATACATGCCCTTCTTCTTCGTGACCTCCGCGTAAAGCGAAATCGCATAGTAAGAAAAGACAATCTCTGTTGTGTGCGTTGCTGAGGGTCCCTCAGGATCTTCCCCAATTCCGCTGTTCCAAGAATTGAGCCACCACCAGTCCTTGTAACGGGTGAGATTCCTGCGGAATTGCGAATGGATTGAGATACCGTGTGTCTCTGGCCATTTTCTCATGGTCACCTGGAAGGACGGTCGCCGATCAGCTGCCCGACGTCCGCCACGTCGCGAATCAAGAGCATCACAGCCTAAACGAACGAGAGAGGGAAGAACGCTCTTTTGAGCGTTTGGAGTGCTCGATTTTTGCAAGACGTCTCACATCGTGGAAACGCATATCCCCCCGCATCGACGGATGCCCGATACGTTTCTTTGGCCAGCTTCTGTCAAAGTAGGTCAGCACTGCGGCAACATATACCAGGTAGCCGTATCTGCGGGAAGGCAGGCGCACGAAAGATGGATCACGATGTCCCTCCTCTGTACGTACATGGCAAGATGGTTGGCATAGAGTCCGCTGCCCGCATCCCTCTCTGGTTCATAGAGCGACACACACGACTCACTTGCCACAACACCATCCCTCTTGTTGAAGCGGTAATGGCACGGGTTGCCTTTTGTGTCCGCATCACATCCACACGGCACCACCCCACCCCACAAATCGTCAGTCACAAGCCGGTTGCCGGATGTGAAGCTCAGCCACTTCTCTAAAGGGCCGCGGATGCGATGCAGCGCCTCGTCGCGCAGAAGTGGAGCCTTGATGCGATGAGCCACGAGTGCCGTGTGCGCATACTTGTGGAGAATCCGGCCGAATCGGTAGGCATCATAGTCGCCTCGACGCAGGGCGGCCGGTAGCCGAAACTCTGATCCATTCAGGTCTGATCACGACATCGCAAGATGACGACAAAAGAGTGAAGGAAGTCAGCTCCTACCAGACCAGATCTGGTCAGCAAGCAGTTGCTGCCAGTCATCAGGCACCTCCGGGCTCTCGTGAAAAGACGCCGATGATAGAGAAATGGGAGCGAGCCGCAACACGGCCTCGTAGGTGCAGATGCCATCACTTGAGCGGCTCGGGGACACGTCAATGTTCGTCATGCACAGGGGGCCTGGACATGAGACAATGGGCAGAGTTCCAGCTTTCTGGCCTTTTGTTCTTCTGGCCAACCGTGAGCTGTCTCGAGGCAGGCAGATGGTCCTTCGAAGGCACGCGGCATCTCTTGTGGCAGGAGCTTCCTGCGTGAAGACGAAGATTCCACTGTGAGCCGCTGCAGCTTTGTCGTTCTTTGTGCTCACTGGTGGAGCCCGTTCACAAAGACCGTCATCTTTTCGTTGTATGACTGATGTTCTTGCATCATGGCCCGCTGCATGCGACGGACACAGAACCTATACGAGATGCCTGAAGGACAGCCAGGCAGCACAAAGCGACGCCATTTGGTCCGAAGCAGAGGGCAGGTCGTTTGCACGTTACATTCATCACTGACGAGCATGCGAGGGCCCCTTTGGGTTTGACGACGCGTTGCTGACAGGTTGAAGGCCGATATCAACACTGGCAGACACTGGATAGTAGCGGTGCGAATGCGATAGCAATGCGGATCTGATAGACGCAACAGGGGCCATGCATCCATCGGCACCTTGGACGGACTCATGTGATGCGCGCCACTTACGTGGTCGATGCGTACTGATGGTCGCAAAGCCGCTTCGTGTGCTCGAGCAGAGTGGGGGTATCCGAAGTAACGGCCGTCATGTTGCACACGTTGCCGACGCCGAGACGCACTATGGTGCCCTGTGCAACCAAGAAAGTCAAAAGAAGCACTGCACAGGCGGAATCTGGCTCACTACCTCCGGCAATGGCTCTGCGGATTCAATCCAGTTCTTCTGGATAATGCCGGCCTTATCGCGCTTTGTGAGGCAGCGCAGGGCCAAAGGTTCCGAGACAATTAGCACCCACTCGGAACCGTCCAAGAGCTGAAGTACAAACGTGTCCGATGGGAGCTGAAACAAGGACACAGCAAGCAAGAGACCGTCACAAAGACTCCTAGTGTACTGCAGGACTCGCACAAACGTGCGTACCGATTTGTTCTGCCGTCCGACTTCCTCGTCCGGACAGTCATAAGTAGTTGAAGCGTTAGCCTTCGCTGACTGCATTGCCTCGCTCGACGCAGGAAGTACGGTGAACCTACATTATGCACGTCGGCAAAGAGCAGGAATCCCAACATCTGATCATACGCCTCCCATGGTCAGTCACCTGGTGATGTAGTTAGGGAATTTGAGCTCTCTGTCCCAGTCAAGGGGAGCCAGCATCAGCGGCTGCTCAGGGAGCTCCAGGGTCACAAGCGGCGAGCCGCGAACCAGGTATAACTTGGTGACGTGCTGCAATACGAAGCACACAAGGGGGCAAAGTGTTGCTTCGGGAGCTGCTTTTTTTCTTTTTTACCGGTCTGCTGTCCCCTCTCGACTCACGTTTGTAGCTGATCACCTTCGTCACAGAGAGATCGTCAAAGTCGCTCACAAAATGTGACACCTCAGGCCGCGCGAAGCGCTTAGAATCTCCCCCGCTGCCCGTCATTTCCTTCAGCGGCGCCACCTCAAAGCCAACGAACCAAGCCGACGCCCGCGGATAAAAGCTGTCAATGTACGAATGCACTCCAGGCGTCTTGGGGTCGGTTTTGATGAATGTGAAGGGCATATGGACGTTGGCTCCAATGCGGCCAGGCTCGGCCACCACCGAGACCAGGTATGGCGATACGTTGACGCCATTGCCCTCGCCTTTTCCTTGTCCGTGCACCAGATTGCTCCACCACATGTTGGTCGGCAAATTGACAGCGGGGGTGGGCACTTCTATCCTCAATGGCTGACCACTAACACGACCCTTGAACTCATCGTTGATCGTGTTCTCGCTGTCTTGATCTCGGCGTAGGAGCAACTCCCTCGCCGTGCCATTGCTGAAGGCAGACACGGTCGATGCCGTCCCCGTCGGGAAGACCGCGAGCTTCATGTAGCACCGGACCGGAGCGTTGGCGCATCCGCCTGCCGTGAGCCGTCTGCCTAGTGCGCTAGGGGCAAAATTGATCTGATAGACGCGAGTGTGGGAGTAGCGTGGGTGCCAAAGAGACGAATGGAAGCCCCCAATGCCTGGTGGAGCAAAATTTGATAAGAGCTGGGAGAACGGAGTCTGTCCGCACGTACCATCGAGCTTGATGACGTCTCCATTTCCACCAGAGCCCCGCGCTGCAGTAACGGTGTGAGGCAGATTCTCAGTCGTCGGGGTCACAAACCGGCGGTACAGTTCTCCATACACACGATCTGCCCTCGGATAGCCTGTGCCATCTCCGGGACCGTCTGGAACTGAAGACCCCCGGAAAGTGAGGACGACTAAAAGGAAAGGTAATCCACACACGGCAGCAAGGAGAAGGCTCCTGCGAAAGGGGCATCCCTCATACGTTCCCTCATCGTCTGCGCTTTTGCACATTATCCGGCACTTTGCAAAGATGCGTTAAGAGTTAGGGTTTGGCTGGCGAAGCGCACTCATCCTTCTTTCTTCCGGTCGACACATTGAGGCCTGCGCAGCTAAGGTGCGAGCGTCTGAATGGCAGATCTTACATCTTTGCCCTAACCCGACGATTGCGAGCTTGAACAGGGGAGCCCTTCCGCTTCCCCCGGTTGATGGAAGACCTGAAGAGCTGACTTTCGATGCAGACATGCAGGTTTGGCGCTTTGTTGTCTTCACGAGCTTTCTGCTCAGCGGATTCGCGGAGGGGAAGGTGGTCAAGGACACGAGGTATGTGAAACCACTCCAGATGAAGCAATATGTGCGCTGTCTTTTCACAGGTGGATGGCCCCCGATAAGAGGTTCGTGTATCTCTCCAAGGTCTGATCGAGCAGGGGAAGGCCCCGCCTCGGGAACACTCTTTCATGGAATTACTTCTTCTCTTGCATTCAGTTCGCATTTAAGATCGGCAATGGAAGCTTCAAGTACCGAATCAAGTGGGCAGAGCAGAACATGCAACCTGCTTCAGGAGGGGAGCTTCGGTGTATTCGGTTGACAGGCTCGGCACGCACACAAACTCGCCTGCGCTGGAGAAGAACGTCACCCTTCCGCTGCTCATATTCCTCGGTGGGCCCCACAGACGGACAGGTGGTGACGTGACTATGGTGCCTTGCTCCTCCTGCAGACAACCATTGGATCGAGGTAGACCGTCTGCCTGCCTGCGAGCGGAGCAAGAAGGTCATGACCACTCGGCAGGTCATCGTGCAAAAGGACAATGAGTGGTCGCCCTGGTAAGTCCTAGGAGAAGCCCGCATCAGGTGCATACAGCTACGCGCGCGACTTATTGCTTTGGATATTACTCCTCATGTGCTTGCCGATCGATGGCGCCGACGCATGCACAGGGTCACAGGTAGCGCTATGAAATGGACGGCAGGACAGAGCATTTGTGGATACAAGTGGTTGTTCCCACACTTGCGTGCCGTCTTAGGTGTCCTCCACCAGTCGATTCGGCCCCACGTGTGGTACTTCGCCTTCAGCGACTGCCAAGAGCTGCTCGGGCCCACGAGTGGGCCCTTCCCCGTCATGTTTGAGTCGGTCATGCTGCAGGAAGACGGGTCCCAATTCTCATATGAGCTGCTGGGGACTCGCTTCGCCGCAGCCATGCAGGCACTGAGCTACATTGTGATGATGCTGGTGTTCCTGAAGAGGGAATTGGAGCTCATGCGCACCCAGCCACTGCATCCCATCATCCAGGGTACACGATAGGCAGTCACAGGTACTGGGTTCATGGACGCGTGTCTTGTGTCGATTCGTGAATGCCTTCGCCGACAGTGCTCAACGTGGCGATCCTTTCCTCGGCTGTGAGTATGTGGGTGGAGACGAGAGGCCGATGGGGCAGTGTGCAATACAGAGAGCGGCTTTGTGTATCTATGTGTCAAACAGGCCGGTTCCCTCCTCAACATGACTCATCTGTTCTTTTATGCACACAATGGGACAGGCCTGACATTATGTGACGTCCTTTCTGAGGTCCTGTCAATGCTCAGCCAGGTAATTGTAAGGAAGGCAGCAGGGGAAGCGCCCATTTCGTCATGGTCTCGTGACATCGGTGCTCCAATTGCAGATGCTAGTTACGACCATTCTCCTGTTGATAGCTCTCGGATACACTCTCAGGACAGGTCACTTAAGATTGCGGCAGGCGTCAGCGATGCTTTGAAATGTCATGTTTGATGTGTGTCTTTTGTTCAGGGGATCTCGCTAAGGTGAGATGGATTCCTGTGCGCCTTACGTGTGTGCATGTCTGGCCTCATGAATGCATCAGGTACGGGTTGGCTCTGCTCCAGCCCTGCCAGTCGTCGCCACGGTCACAGGGGTCAAGGGAACTGTCTCCCAGAGACTCCAGAAAGTGTACTCTGTCTCCTTGTGCCATCCCTCAGGTTTGTGTGGGTCATCTTGTGCTCGTGGCGATCGGGAACCACATGGCCGACGACTCGCGCTTCAAATTTCACAGCGTGCGTATACACATGGGGAGGATGGAGGGATCCCAACGGACGGAGGCATTGTGTGTTGTCTGTTGATTGCGCCACCACATCAGAACGAGGGCGCGATAGGCTGGACAATAGTGTGCATTCGGATAGCTCTCTACGCGATCTTCCTCGTCGCCTGCTCGAACACATACCTTGCCTCACCTGCATCGCGTCTACAGGCGTAACCAGACAAAAGAAGAGGCCAAACGCCCAAGCGTTGAGCCCATCCGTTTCCTTGCTTTACCGTGTTGTGCAGCTTTTTGCGTACGTACACTATTGCTTCAAGCCTGTACTTTTTGGCCTTTCCGCTGTTGTTTATCGTGACGTCCATCTTCGCGCCCTACCTGCGCCACAAGATCATGAGTAACGGGGTGTGGCTCGTCCAGATCGCCTCCCTCTCGTGGCTGGCCACCCTCTTCCTCATTCCCAAATCACAATACTTCTCCGTCTCATCACTCGGTAAGATTCCATACAAACAAATGCCATTTGCGCACCCCCTCCGTGGTGATGGCATTTCTGCGTGTTTGATGGTGGACCAAGGTCACGGTCTGCTGCCCTCCTTTCGGTCGTGGGTGCGAGGCTTCAGCAAGTCGCTAGAGTGAGGGAGCAGGCGAATCCGCTGCAGGCGTTGGTGTTGGCCGATGGTGTGTGTGTATGTGGTGTGCGTTTTTGGGTGTGTGTGCTAAAACGTTTCGGACTGTGAGTAGAGGTGAAGAGGTGACGACTTACGTGCCATTTCGGTCATGCAGCGAGGATTGGATTGATGAAAAAATAGCTGTCGGAACTGCCCGCGTTCGTTGCGTTTGAAAGGGGATGCAAAGAGGCAATAAACGTAACCGAAGAGATTGCCTACCCTAGCCCCCGCCCCAGCCCCCGGCATTCCTGGGTGAAGACGCCCAATGGAACAACAGTATCGCGTGGAAGACGCTCGCCTCCCGGATGTGAGGAACATGGCCATGGACGAGCCGTGCCTGCTGCCGGGTAACACCGCCCCCATATATATCAACTACGTCACACTGTTGTGTTCTGTGTTTATCATCGATAAGGGGAACTCCAAGTCGGCAAAGTGATACAGAATGTGCTCAACAATCTCAGGTTCCAGTCCGGAAAGTCAAGGGTGAGGGCAATCCCTTGTACCACTCTCCTCCTTCTCATTTGGGGTGTCTGTCTGGTCTGTCAGTCGTGGAAGCAAGAATTCTGTAGCGCTTACTCCTTGGGTTTCGTGGCGGAAGCCTTCTGGCTGGTCGTCCTTTGCTTTTTCCAGAACACCCACCCCGACGCACCCTTACTGGAGAGTGTCTTTTTTGACCGGCTGGCTCGCAGCTATTTCCTGCTGTTCCACGCCATTGCAAAGAAAGATACGTTCTTTCAACAGTAGGGATAGTAGATATAGGAAAAAGTGGGTGGGCATCGTGACGGTCAACAATGCCCACTCGATTCTTCCACAGATTTGCGGATGCTTCTTCCCAATTCATCCTCTATTCTCTTTTCCTTGCCTATCCGAAGTCACGCCCGTACTTCACTATGTTCTTTCGTCGGTACAAGTGGGTTCGGGGGGTGAAACACATGGAGCCCTTTGTCTTGTATTCCCACAGGCAGCTGTTCACTTTGATACACTACTGGACTACAGGCGAGAAAAGGACAGCAAGAGAGGACTGCCCCCGCCCTTTTCATGCTTCCCTCCCTCAGGCATCCATCCAGAGTTTATCTGCCTCGACCACTGGAAATTAAATCTAGGGGGCGGCAATGTGCTGTCAACGACTTATGTGAGACACCAGACACACAAATCTGTACTTCGCCGTCATTGATGTCTGCACTTTTTCAGGACAGCGTGCCCACTTCTTTCCCGCCGCTTCGTGGACAGGGCTCGTCTCTCCCCTCCCCTCGTCAAGCTTCTGCCCGGCAGGGCGCTGCGGTCCCTGTGTCCAGCTCGTCACGCGAAGAGGGTGGCTGCACGTCGCGGCAGATGCGGGAGGCACTCGGCAGCGACCCCTTCCATTGCAGTCCCCTCCAACAGCTGTCTCTCGGCGTTTCTCGTCACGACGGCATGGCCGGTCAAGATAGGATCCCGGTGGACAGAGCCACTGCCTCGCGGCTCATACGCAGTCATAAGGATCTCATCTTCAGACCGACGAAAGTCACTCGGATGCTGAGGTAAGCAAATTCAGAGGGCCAATGCGATTGCGGCAGTCCGTCGATGCATGTATAGGTTTTCACCCTTGCTAGCCCACTTCTACGCAAGCCAGCGCTACAGCCAGTGCAATTTGGTGCCCATTCGGCAGATGCGGATGGTCCAAGCAGAGGACCGCACATTGCTGCTTGACCTCAAGCACATGCTCATGCAGCAAGACAAGGATGAGGCGGCAAAGGTGAAGCGATAGAAGAGAGGCGAGACACCACCCTTGCCGTCCTTTGTCGTGTCTCTATGGCCAGGCCACCGAGAGCGCTGTGAATGCGTATGAATCTCTGGCAATCGATCTTGAGCGCGAGCAGAAAAACCTGGCCATCGATTTCGCACAGACTTTGCGCAAGCTAGTGGACCGCCGACGCACGGTCAAGGCCGCTTGCCATGGCCACGCCAACATCTACGCCAATTATCTGACGTCACTAAGAATAATGACGTGCTGATGTTCTTCCTGACGTTGTGGTGGCCGTCACTCGTGATCCATGTCTCTCTTGTTCTTTCTCGCGGCAACAATCTCATCTCACGAAAACGAATAAGGAAAGAGCAAGGACAAGGTGGATGGTACATTCCTCTTTCCCAGCACCATGTCGTTCTCACCAGAACTCGACAGGACGATAGCGTGAAGCAATTGTGCATGCGATACGTCCATATTGACATGAAACCCTTTCTCCATGCATGGCACCAGCAAAAGTCTATCCCTGAGTGCCGCCCTGTCCGCCTCACTGCACACACACAATGACCCTTGAGACCTTCGTCACACACGTAGACCAATGCTGGCAAGCAGGACAAGCGCCCCGAAATTACGTCTCGACATCGATTCTTCAGTTTGTCCTCCTCCATGCGAGTAGCCTATTCTATTCTCGAACAGGTCGCAGACGTCGACATAGCAGTCCCCAAGCAGTCCCCCGGCATTATAATGAGCACCTGCACTTGATCTGCCTTTTTTATCCTCCTGAAGTCGTGCTGCAACATACAATACAACAGCACAACTCTACCACAGGTCACGGGTTTTTAGGTTTTTCATTTGCGCAAACACATCGAGCGGGCGACGAATTAGTTTGTCTACGTATGGGAACACAACCATGCAGACAAAGTGAACAACGCTCAATGACTGCAAACAAATGCATGTCGCACACTGCAAACAGGCGTGAGACACGCACCACGATAGACACACAAAACACGCACACACAGCATCCAGATCCAGCCAGCCACCTCACAGCCCCGGAGCGGGTGTGGCCTGTATGGCCCGCGGCTGACGAAGTCTTCAGGAAACGCGCCGGCCCTCCGTGGCCCTCTGGCGGCTGCAGCGCATTGTGCACGACTCGCCACATGGAACGCGGTGTGCTTCACCAACTCCATGGACAGAAGCTGGCTCTCCAGTGATTGATGACGCTCTCTCGGTAAGCTATATCCTCATCCGTGGGAATGGAGGTGGGGCGGGGCTTGCGCCTGGCGAGCATCTTGAGAAAGTCCACTGTCTTCTTTCCCCACCTGCCGAATGTCTCCGCCAGAGAGGCACAAAGCGGAAGCCGGCTGCTTGTGCGGTCGGCCCATACTTGTCGATCTTGTCTTTCTCTAAGTCGCGCTGTCTTGTCATCTGGAGGTTGTGCACCACGCCGGTTGACTGTCCGGTGGAAGGGGATGGGGGAGGCGTCAAGTCGGCAGGGGCGGGCGATGGTGACGCGCCGATCAGTCGATGTCCATGCGCTGGCTGTTGGGGAAACTACAGTCTCTTGGCGTATAATCTTCCCTGCAGCCGACACAGACAAAACAGAGAGAGAGACCCACATATCACCGAATTGATCGTATGTCCAAGGTACTCCGGCACCTCTCAGTTTTTGATCCGAGTTTGTTATCCCTATCTACCTCTCAGCTTTGCATGCTGCGTACTGCATGTGCGTGTCGCGTGTCCATGTCGCTGCTTGGTTGCTTATTGTGTTGACGACGAGACACATGCTAAGAGCATGGAGAACACCATGCACGAGGATTTCTACCTGACCTGAGGGACCCCCTAAACCGCTTCTGTTGTTGAAGTGAGTGAGTGTTCTCCGTATCGAGTTGCAGATCTGATCACCGTCACCAGTTGATAGCGTTCACAAAAAAAAGAAAAAAAGAACTGGCGAGCCTCAAGTTGACCCCCCGCTTCGGGAGCAATTGGGAGGTTTTGCATTTCGAACGGCACCGGTCCGTTCTGTGTTCAGGAGGAAGTAGAGTTGTGCCCGCTAAAAGGGGAGAATCAGACGTGCCGGCATTCCCGCATTGTGTGCGGGCGTTTGGGGGGAAAGTCAAACGTGCGTGAAGAAATAGCTCAGAGAAAGCATCCTGATGCAACGGTGCGC